CTTGCTGAGTCCTTGTTGGGGCTTGAAGTTCATCCCTGAAGTTAGCTAACTATCTCATGTTGCTCATTACGATGGATGGAAGAGATGGCTTGAATTTCTTCCTTCTTTCTTTCCTTTTTGCTCCTACTCTGCATTCACAACATTTCCTTTTCAGCTCCTCTGGGATTTCTGGCTTCCAAAAATCCCCAAAAAGAAAAGTAAAGTCCTGATCTTGCCTGTCGGTGGCGTCCTCTCGCACCAGGCAGCGTTTTCTGGGTGCTAGCCCCTTTTTATTTCCTAAGTTCACCACACCTAAAACTATAATGATTCTGCCCAAAATCAGTTTTTAAAAAGTGGAAATTTTGAATAATTTTAACAATGAAATAACAGCAACTGTTCCACAAAACAATGTTTGATACATTTACTCTTTCATGTATTTATTCAGAAAAAACAAAACAGTGATTATGTTACAAGCTGGCAACATCTGCCAACACATTTGCTGGCCTTTGTGGAGAAGACGTCCCATCAAAGTTTGAAAGGCATGTAAAAGTCAGAAAGACATGCAAGAAGCCGCTTAGATGATCAGAACTGAGCTTTGTGGTTTAGATATGGTAGTGGCAGTATCATGATGCGTGGATGCTTTCTTTCAGCAAGAACTTGAAAGCTGGTCAGTATTATTGGGGAGATGGATGGAGCATGGCAGTCACGGCTGCAAAAGACTTACGGTTTGGACCCAGATTCACGTTCTTGCAGAACAACTGACTCCCAAACTCCTCACAGTTTACAAGACAGTCAGTCTTTCCCGCTGCAATGTATGTCACGGTGTTTTGCCGTGCCAAGTTCTCTTATTGTAAGGCCAGCAGATGAAGTGTGCTGAATCAAATTTTATATATAAACTGGAGCAAGCATTTTCTAAAGCATGTTAAAGGCAATAACAGGGTGGATTACAAAGCCAAGGATATGGGCTGGATAAATGTTACGGGTTCATGCATGCAACTTTGGGCATGCATGCACTTTATGTTGGTTAAATAAGTAGAAGACAGGGAATATTCTTGACAGGTGGCTAGTCAAAGTAGCAAAGGGATGATGTCAAATAAGTTCTAAATTGGTAAAGTACAAGCCAATAAGCTCAGACTGACAGATTTCAAGTTATTTTTTCTTCACTACATGCATTCATTTTTTTCAGCTCTTTGTCACAATAAATAACATCGCATAGCAGCTTCCATATGCTGAATACAGGAAAGAAACATCAAGGAGCTTCTTGGGGCCCATTTGCACGGAAACACTGTTGTAGTGTTTTTACTTTGTTATTGTCCATATTAAAGAGCGGCTAGATGCTAGCAGCACTGCTAATTCACATTCATTCCGCTGCAAAACGTACCGCATGTGTTCCTGGTGCTACTCCTGATTAAATTCAGAATTGACTCTGTAGTTTAAACAGTCCCAATATTGGGTCCGGCATCACTTCTAATAACAAGATAAATCTAAGCACATGCTATACAATAACCAATATACTGGTAAGCATATTGCATATTTATGTAATGGGCAAAAGCTCATCTAAATAATAACAAGAAAATGTTCTACGTCAACAACACCCAGGTCAAACACTTAAAAAAATTAGGCGCTAATTAGATGTCACACCTTGTAAGCACGAAGCAATGCAGTGCAACAAGGTCCTGCCCGCACAAAGTACCAATACCTTTCTAAAATGTCTATGCTTCATTGTTTTGGAACAAAATTTGGTCCAGAAATTTGTCAGAACCTGTATTGTGAATTGCTAGAGCTTCTGGATTTCCACTGCATGCTTTTAAGAAAAATCCACACTACGCAATGTAATTTATTAGAATTTATTATTTCTATTTTGTATTTTTTCACTGTGTGCCATATGTATTTGTTCTTTTTTGGTAATACAAATGTTAACTTTTAGACTTCTAGAGTATTCCATGGAATATTACCTTTATTTTGATACTGGAACCAGTCAAATACATCCTGTAGTTCCTGAGTTATATGGAATTTATTTTGGGGGTGTCATTTTTGAGAACGTTCTAAAAGATTTCCAAAAAAGAAGCTCTGGTAAGATGAGGTTAAATTCCTCAGTACTGAGGAGCTCTCTCATAGCAGACAACATGTCCGCTACAGTCCACACCTAAACTTTAATATTGTTTTGGAATTGTCAGTGATGCAAATCACGAGCCAATCAATGAATGCGGTCAGCTGTTAATCAAATGGTTTCGGTGTCCTGCCAGGTGCCACATGAGGACTCCAGTGTTGTCATGGCAGTTAAGCAGTTAATACCTGATTAAAGGTTGTTATTTTCAAAAAGTACTTTTTGAGCCTCATTAGGACCTATATTCCACTTTACAATGACTGTAGATGTGCAAAGTGACACCCCAAAATAGCTACTGCCAAAGCCTGCTAAACTACTGTGGCACAGGGTTTTATACACCACACTTTTTAGATATTTTGTGGAAGAATGTTTGGAACCTCTATTTTGGTTCATCTCAGAGAATCCCATTAAAATCCATGAAAGTCTGTATGACAGCAATGAAATTGCTCCTCAGTTAAGTGAAGCTAATTGAGAATAAGACATGGCCACACTGCTGGTTTGTTGCCTCAATATGGCTGCTATATAAAACTTCTCTTGTGTCATTTTAGCTCTGCCATATAGCAAATATTTTTGTGTTGGAGCTAAGCATTAAAAATAAGTTATTTGTCTCCATACACATAGTCTGTGTACTGGTAAATGAAATAATGAACAACTCCAATGAGAGTTGGTCAGAAGTCAGTTAGAAAACTTCAATTGACTGAAACGGTTCCTCAGTTTCACCTCTTTGTCAGCCTGCATGTGAGTGTGTGTTTACCAGACTATAAATGTCCCCGCTTTGACGTCAGACGCTTGCTGCTGTGGAATGCTGCCCTCTTGCCAAGCAGACTATTATACACACACTCACAGAGCAGTCTCTCATGCACACACACACATGCAAAGGCGGTGTGTGGTAGTAGAAGGGAGACATGTGCGTCACAGTGAAGCGCCAGGATATTTGTTTAGGTAATTTAGATGCAAGCAGCTGCACATGTGCACATATAAAGAGAAAAACCTATACACATGGTCTTGTTTATCTACAGTTCTCAGTTTCAGAATGTTTTCTTTGAGCAGCAACATCTACTGTGGCAAGAAAATCATTACAAAGCAGCGACTATAAGGATGAGCTTCTATCAGTTAGCTTGCATCTTTTATCTTTTTTATGCCTGGTTCTGACCATCCGTACCTTCTCACATCTGTTTTATATCCCTAAATAAACCATGTTGCACCAATGTGCTCTATCCGGTTGAATTCTTTATTTTGGATTCCATTTCAGTTGATTGTGGTTCTGCTGATCCCCATTTGGGTCAGTCAGCTCTGATGGAATAAAACAGAGGTTTGTACAGTCTGCGGGTCTTGATGGTCTTGACTTTTTGCAGAAATCTGAAATCTGAATTTATTGCATGATGTTTCTACTACTAAATGCATTAAAAATAAATTAAAAATCAGACCTTTGTGTGAACAGTTTATGATCCTGAATCAACCTGCACACAGAGAAGAACGATGACAAGTATTAAATAATGCAACTGTCTATGTTTAGATTTTGAAATTGGTTAGAGCCAACAGGAATGTCGCAAGATAAGCAGATAATATAAAGAAAGATAACAATTTTCGACAACCTTTAGTCATTGACAAAGTCTGTGGCACAGACTATACAAAACCTTCAATACCTGCTGAAGGAAGTCGATATGAATTTGTGACATTGAAGACATTTTTATTTCTTCTATTTCTTGTAACTCAAAGTTCTGCAAACAAAGTTGTTTGTTGTTTTCTTCAGCCATTACCTATAGTTGTCTATACAGATGCTGCATTAATTGAACAGTAAAACAGCTAATCTTTCTCTATTGTCTTTCATCTTCATCTTGAGATTGAGGTCATTCCAGTTTGTTCATATGTTATCTCCTGGTGGACTAACACTAGCAGAGGATACGGATCCCAAAGTCATCACTAATGGGAAGAACCTCACACTGGAGTGTTGTGCTCCTGATATAGACTGCTTTAGGAATGGCTTAACACAATGAAGTCAACAGATGTGGCTCATGTCCTGGATATGTCTGTGTATGGAAGCAGAACATGTTTCTTGAGGCTCACTCCTCACTACCTGTGTAGTCTCTGGCTCAACTAGTCTGAATCCTCTTGGATAGGGCTAACCAGCTTGGCATTGATTTTGATTTTACAGTTTAATTAGATTAGACGGTATCTAGGATGCAGACCCGGAAACAATGGCAGCTGAAGAATCGGAGCACCTTACATAGGTCAAACATCCCTGTGAGTAAGTCCTAATTGAATCCACCCATGGCTAGTAGGGAGGAAATCCACAGTCTCAGTCTGTGGAAGCCTGCTCCATTTTCCAAGAAGTGGTCTAATCCTGCAGGCAATTGTGCAAGCTGATCACAGCAGAAATGTTTTATCAAGCTTCATATTGTTGGTCAGAAGTCTTGATGACAAGGTGATGAGTTGCTACAAATATCATCTGACAAAGTAAAAGGCCAACTACAAAAACTTCAGTACCTGCTGAAGTAAATCAATATGAGTCCATGACACTGAAGACATTTTTATTTCTTCTATTTTTTGTAACTGAGAGTTCTTCAAACAAAGTTGTTTGTTGTTTTCTTCAGCCATTCAACATCCAATGTGATCATTCAGATTTATTTCCAGCTCTTGTAATGATATTCCTCTACAGCTGAACCGTGCCAAATATAGATAGACCAATGCCAAGGTAACACTACAAGTCTGTACTATCGTTTGCTAAGGCTAATGTGGCTTGTGGCTATTTTAGGGGGGTAGGACAATGTGTCCCTAACTTTCACTACCACAGAGTGTGTGAATGAAGTGGAATCTGATTGAATGCACTTTGTGTGTACGTCCCTAAGTGATGTAACTCTCTATGATGTTAAGGACTAATCAATCATTTCGTCTTTCTGTCTTTTTTCTGCAGTCTTGGAGGTGAAGAGCCCCCTACCATCAGGCATGCAGAGTCCAGTTGAAGCAACATGTGGTGGTGAAGGAGGTGGTGAGTCTTCTTTGCAAAAATAACAAATATAGTTCAAGTAATCAAGATTACATCCCAACAAATGTCAGGACATCATAAATATTAGCTGATTGTAACCGGTTCCAAATCTAATGCTCATAACACTGTGGTTGACTGAGTGTAATTATTTATCAAAGTGAAATGAAGCCAAGTTAAGAAACTATATTTAAGAATTATATTAATACCCTGCCTGCACCAGGGCGCCTTGTCTCAGTTAGCATGGTTAATGTTAAAGTTAAAAACTTATTAACTATGAAATGAATGGTTGTTTGAAAGTATTGCCTGGAGAAAGCTTCTTCCTTTTAAATAAATTAGGAGGCATGATTTAAGTTTTCGACATTGCAATTACCAACACATACTTGAATACATGGTTTCAGATTTTTTACCATTAAAAATCTGAAAAGTATGATGTGCATTGGTATTCAGCTCTCCATGAGTCAAAGTTGTTTAAACAAGCAAAGCTACATGTTTTTCAATATAAATCTCTACTAGCTTTGCACATCTGCAGTATTTGCATATGTCTTTGCCCATTATTGATTGCTAAGAAGCTCATCCTTGGTCATCCTTGGTCAGTTTTCAAGGCTTGTCGCATACTCAAAAATCTAGGGTTAGATTGTGACAAAGTTAGTAGATCAAAACTAGATTAAGCCAGTTTTGATGTACAGGCTTTTATCAAAACCATTCAGTGGTAAATCTGACTGTGCTAATGGACAGTAAATCTTTCTACCTTCACTAGCTCTGTTGCCATTAACCATTAACCATTAATTGCACAAGTTGAAATTATGAAAATAAATGTAATTAATGAAAATATGAGAATTTCGAAAAAACTCAAGAAAAAGTTGTTGCGCTGGTATGATGTAATTTTCCAGCTGTATCGAAATAGAAATATGTCACAAAACTGCAAGGGAAACACTTTTTGCCATCACACTTGTTGAACAGTCAGATGTTATTACTGGCGGAAACCACGACGAAGATGACAGTAAGTGATCTTCTTCGTGGTTTGTAGTTTGTTTGTCTTTTTTCGGACTGTGTCCAGCTACTCCACCAGAGCCCTCACAGCATCACACAGTTCAAAAGTTGTGTGAACGTCCAATGTGTTGAATCCATAGCTCTTACGTAAAATCACTCATTACAATTTCTCCAAAATGCTGCATATGTAGCCACTCCCAAGTACAAGAGGCTTGTCGCTCCTCCTGAATAAAGCGCAGACGTCTCCTCTGACAGCTGATAGATGGCGAGCACTAGCACCATGACTTAATTATAAATAAGGTCATTCTTTACATCCATCACTGCCATAATTTTAATGACATGAACAAGCTTATCCACGTGTGATTTTATTGGAAACGTCACAATTCCAAAATTTTGTTCTTTCAATATTAGCAGAATTGAGACAAATATTTGCACACATCTGCAATGGAAATGCAGCTAATGTCACTGCTAGTAAAAATCTACAATGTTCTACTTTTTGGGTGGTGGTGTTTTCAGCATGAAATAATGTTAGACTTCATCCAGACATGGTTTAGCATGTAACTTGAAAAGTAGATTTTTTTTTGTCCCCTCAAATGGCTTTGGTAGACTTCCAAACATTTTTTTCAATCTTTTGTGAGAATAAGTTCACTGATGCTGTTGACCCAGTCTGAGTGAGCTTGAGTTGTTTGGCTCACAGGAAAACTGGCATAGGCATACAGCATCTGTAATTGCAGTGAACAATGGTTTTACAGAAGCTTGACGTCAAGGGCCTTTTTCTGGTTTTTATCTTGAAACTATTTATGTTTTTCCTTTTACTTTCTAATAAAGGTATTTTGTGTTCTTCTGTTACATAAAATCCCAGGTCAGCTGTGCTGTAGAAAACTTGTGTAAAGCTAAAGAGGGAGGAAAGTTGACTGTGATGTCTTGCTTTTTGACCAGTCGGTGTTTCTGGAGAAGGCCTAGTTGGAGGCGGAGGCCCAGTGGACTTGAGGACAGAGCCGAGGTTGAGCTCTGTGTCTGGTGGAGGAGCAGTGGATACAGCCCTGAGAGAGCAGCAGCTTCAGCAGGAACTCGTGCTTCTCAAACAGCAACAGGAACTCCAGAAGCAGCTGCTATTTGCGGAGTTTCAGAAAAAACATGAAGTGTTAACGAGGCAGCACGAAGTCCAGCTGCAAGAACACTTAAAGGTAGCTCATGCTCTCTTTACAGTCACTGCTTTAATGGTTTATCACTCATCTCCAGAAGCAGTCTTTAACCCAAGTAAAACGTGTTTGTATGTGTGTAAGCAACAACAGGAGCTGCTGGCAGCAAAGCGGCAGCAGGAGTTGGAGCATAAGAGAAAACTGGAGCAACAAAGACACGAAGAACAGGAGAAACAGAGACTGGAGCAACAACTGTTGCTGCTGAGAAACAAAGAGAAGGGGAAAGAGAGTAGGTTCTAGTGCTGCCATCAGTGACTACACTGAAATGTACATGTTGATGTACATAGAGTGTAGCATCCTGATACTGTCTGCATGTGTTTGTGTTATGGAAGGTGCCATTGCCAGCACAGAGGTGAAGCTGAAGCTTCAGGAGTTTCTTCTCAGTAAGAAAGAACCTGGTCCTGGAGGACTCAACCATTCCTTCTCCTCAAAGTGCTGGTGAGAATGGCCTATTTTCTTTACGGGGGGAACGGGGTAAACATTTTTGGTAGTTTGACCTATATCTATGTTCAACATGCTAAAAAACTATTGAACCAACAGACCAGGCCTTTAATTTTGATTATGTCACTCATTTGCTGTGGCTTTTAACGTTAATAGAAAATCAGCATTAGTAGTTGTGTCAGTTATCTAATGTGTGTGTTTGTAACTGCAGGGGAGGCCAGCACACGTCTCTAGAGCAAAGCTCCCCCCCTCAGAGCAACACCCCTGGAACCTCTCCCTCCTACAAACTCCCCCCTCTTCTCGGAAACTACGAGGGTAAAGACGACTTCCCACTTCGGAAGACAGGTGAGACAGTGTGCCATAACATGCAGTCTTTATACAAAGTTGCTCACTTCAGTTCAGTTTTATTTTCATAGTGTCAATTAACAACAAATGTCGTCTCATGGGACTTTACAAAAAAAGCTAGTTCAGGTCAGTCATACATACATTCCAGTTGATTCATGTTATTGAACAGTGTATCTAGTTGTAAATTGCTCAAATTAGTTTAAAGAGACAATATATGTTTTCCAGGCACAAAGTCACTTTTTATAGAAAAATCAAGCAACTGTGTTAACTTCAGTTGTTATAAAAACGCTGTGTCAAGTTTGGCTTAGAAAGAAATGTGACTTTATAATTTAACCCCTTGAAATTGGGTCTTTGTCTCTTTAAGAAACTCTTGCTCTTTCCAACAATGCACCTTCAACGTAGCGTTGCTTCTCTATTAACCTACTAACAATATTTTTACCAGCCTAGCTTCTATAATGAGCACAGTTGATATGCAGTTCCAGCAAGAGCTTGCTATTTGCCGCTGGCTAGTCTGAACCTCTGGTAGGTTCAGACTAGCCAGTCATGGTTTGCTATGGTTTCTTCCATGGCAAATGACATGGCAAATCAGTCATTTGCCATGTCCGACTGAGGGTTTGAGAAGACAGAGCAGATGCACAAAAAAGAATAAGAAGAGCAGATGTGGAGTGAAAAGTAAAAAAGTTATGTCAGCAGATGCCCTCCTCCATGAAGTTATCACACCTCTACAGAAAGAGAGAAAAATGGAGAGAAAAAATGCCTGCATTCTTGATGTTTCTGGTTGAGCTAAGACAGTATTTTCAGTCGGATTAACAAAAAACACATTCAGCACAGTGTTAACATTCAGCTCTATTGTTCAATTAATCTGCATATATTAATGGTGATTATGTATCAGCATTATTTATCAATAAGTGTCAAAGGGACTGTTATAATAATATAATAACATCAGTTTTGATGACATAGCCATAGCCTTCTCAGCACAGATCTGCTCCTTTGTGTTGCATAATTTCCCATTAACATGTGTTAACAAGTTGGAAAAATAACTAAAAATGAATTAACATCATCATTGTCTTTTTGCCCATGCATGTGTTTGTACATCCTGTCAGAGCCCAGTAACCACCAACCCCAGTGTAAGAATACACCTACCTTACTAAACAGGGGCCTTAAGTACACCCTTTACGATTGCATCAAACATAATAGTTGCATCGAATATTATCAAACATAATGATCTCACCGATACTTTTATGAAAACATTAGGAAAAATATAGTTCAAACAACAAAAGTGACCACCCTGAGTTGCTGCCGGTTTCGGAGGTTGATCAAACACAATCAGCTTGAATTGATCATTTTCATGACAATTCTGATTTTTAGTAGTTAACTTTTTTACACCATATTGATGAACAGTTATTTTTTAGCAGACCATTATAGACTTGCTTACCAGTGATGGGTCAGTGTGATGGAGACCAGGGGTTCCATCCCTAATAAATGATTATTGATATGATTATTCAGTCACAAACGTTTCGGCCATAAGAGCCCTCTAAGAAGTGAATGACAGAATTCTGAAAAGAGCAGAGATTCCGATCACTATTGCTTACATTAATGTGTGTGTACTATTTTTACTTACTTACTACCCCAAACACACATAGACATATAGTTACCAGAAGATACTACTGAATGAATTATTTTGTGAGTTTGACTGGTTGGTGATTCACTGTGACTCATCACTTCAGAGGTAGTCCAGATAGCATCTATTATGGAGGAAAAGGAAAGACTCTGAAGACACAAAGTTGAATGTCTGAAACCTTGTCTGAAACTCATTTATCACTACTCAGTGTTTTTGACTGAACACTGCCTTTAAAAATATACATGCCTCTTGAACTTATAATCATAAATTTCAATGTATTTTACTGGGACTTTCAGATCTCCCTAAAATAGTGGACAATTGTGAAAAACGAGTCATGTTTTTCAAACTCTGAATAATTCAACATGCCCCTCTGAATCCATTGCAGGATTACCTTTTTTTTTGCAGTTTCAGCAGCAAGTCTTTTGGAGTATGTTTCTACCAGCTTTGCACATCCAGAGACTGAAACTTTTGCCATTCTTTGGTAGTTTTTCATATACATGTATGTTTATGTGTTTGTAAAATGACAGAATGTAGAAAAGTTCAACACATCTGAATACTTACACAAGACAGTGTCTTGAAATGTTTTCTGCCACTCCAATCATTGCAATCTTTGTGACAAGCAACTGCGGCCTTAAATGAATAGAAGATATGGCTTCAAATGGCCGAAAGATGTTGATCGCTGCATGAAATTAAGGTCCCCCATGTGTCTCCGTCTGTATCTGAATCTTCCAGTTTCAGAGCCGAACTTGAAGGTTCGATCTAGACTCAAGCAGAAAGTGGCAGAGAGGCGCAGCTCTCCATTGTTGCGCAGGAAGGATGGAACTGTCATCAGCACCTTCAAGAAAAGGGCTGTTGAGATATCAGGTAAACAAAGATTTTGTCATTTCTACAGGAGAGTAAATGGAAAAATTAGACAAGCATGATCAGCAACATTTAAGCTTTTCTCTGTGTTTTTGTCCTAGTCTCCTCCCTTTGTAACAGTGCTCCTGGCTCAGGTCCCAGCAGCCCCAACAGTTCCAATTCGGCCATCGCCAACGGCAACACGGGATCAGTCCCCAACATACAAACCGAGGTGCAGAATCACAGCTTAACATGCACAAGCTTCATTTAAGAAGTTCTTTTTCCCGACTTTTTTTTTTGTCAGTCTGTCTTGTCACAAACTGTTTTCCTACAACTCAAAGCTTCATTACAGCTTTACGCCCTCAGAGTGTTTCATTAAAAATTAATGCAATGGACCAGTTTTAATAAATAATGTTTTTTCTATTAATTTAAATTATTTGGTTACATAATTTACTAATGACATTAATTATGAAGAACAATGTATGTTCCACTTATTTATCAAATATAATGAATATTTTGTGTCATAATATTCATTTGTCATAATATTTTCTGAAAATGTTAAGAAAAATTAAACATTCAAATATTTTAGTGTGTAAAATTTTACTTTATTTTTATAAAACACAGTAGTTAAAAGACATAAATTAAATGATCACATTCAGACTTTATTCTACTTATGAATCAGTTCGATGGCCAGTTGCTGGTTACAGATGGTTAAAGCACAACGGGACAGATTGATTTCACTCTTAGTTTCTGATTCAGCAAATGTGATGGTAACAAAGACACATTAATCAGATGTTTTCAGTGTTTTTGTTTTGTTGTCATTTTGTGCATTTCTGATGGACATCTTTGAATTTTGGAATTCATTTTAGCTGTCAATGGTTGCTACTTGAACCATGTGGTCTGGCTTAGAATGTCTTTGTGAGATATTGATACTAAATATTGATACTAAGTTAGTAGTTAGTAGCAATATTGTTAGACAAATGTGAAATGTTTAATTTCAGGTTTAAGGATGAAAAGTACAAAGTGACTCTGATATGACCATCTGTAAAAAACATCTTGTATGAAACATTCCAAGAAATATGATTGCATAGAGTCAGTTTCCTAAATACCTTTTATTAAAATAAAACAGGCCATTTAGAATGGAAAATTATATCTAATAATTGAAATGGCTGAGAGTTAGCAACTACAACATGTGTGATGATGCAAACAAGGCATGCATAAGACTCCCCTTGTATAAATACTTCAGTGAAATAGCCTGCTGGTAGATGATGTAGTGTTAAAGTAGAAATTGGTTTGATAGATCATCTCAACAATGACTGAGATTATCTTTAGACACAAGAAAACTGCAGCCAAATCTGAACATTGCGACAGAAGTAGGATTTAGAGCCTCAGTTGTGAGATGCTGGTTAAATTCCTGTCCTTGGACAAGACACTTCACCCTCCTTGCCTGCTGGTGGACAGAGGGTCTGGTGGCACTGATGCATGGCAGTCTGCTCCAGGGCATCTGTGGCTGCTATCCATAGCTTGCTGGCATGAGTGTGTGTGTGAATGGGTGAATGACTGACTGCAGTGTGAAGTGCTTTGGGGTCCTCCGAACTTGATAAAGTGTTACATAAGTACTGGACTTTTGCCAATGTCTGATCTTTTTGACATTGTTATTTTCAATTCTGCACTGATGGAGAAGTCCCAAAACACAACATATAAAATATAATTTTTTTGCCAAGCTCTATGGTGTTAAGTGTACGGCGCCCTGCAGAGGACATGGGGAATTCTTTTCTTTTGCTTTCCCTCGCAAAACCTTTACCTCCCTTCGCAATACTGTACTGCTCAGTTACGCAGCATAATTGAATACTGTAAGCCTTTCTTATGGTGGCCACCATAAGAAAGGCTTACTTTCTGCTTTAATATAAGGTTATGTGAGGTTTTTCCATGAATGTTAACATCTCTTTGTGAAATATCTGAAGTTTTATATGTTTTCTTTAGGATAGAAAGGTTGATTGTGTGTGTCTCTGCTGTGTTCGTGGTCTGAATGCTTTAAACCTTAACAGACATAAATATGCAGTGAATAAATTGATTTTCAATCAGTTATTGCACCAAAGACTTAATAATAATAATAATAAACAGGTTTTATTATTATAAAACATGGCAAACTAATGACGGTAAAGAGACGCACTAGATTAAATCGGGGAATGTAATATGTCCGTGTATCAATCAACTCCAAACCATTTCTTTGTTCTGTCACAATTATCGATTTAATCCATTTTGATTATCAGGCTCCAAACTTTGCAAGGACTGACCTCCCCGCTCACCGCTTCCTCACACACACAAAGCCAGCAGGCCAGTAACCTTCAATTCATACTTGATGACGTCACGCCCACATCGACACACACACCACCCAGGTATCAAAGACGTTTGCTCCTATCATATCAATAATTACTTATTTAATTCATTTGGCTCTTACGGAGCCTCAGTGAAAACATGTTTATTAACTCTTTGGTGCAAAACACTGATTGAAAATTGATTTATTTACTGCATGTTTAAGATGGAACAGCACTGAAAGCAGCTCTTTAAACCATTCAGACCATGAACACAGCAGAGACACAATCAAAACTGTCAGATGACTGATTACCCCGCGATAATAACTCAGAAATAGTCCAAATTAGGATGTATTTTATTTCTTTCCTACTTACAGAACGTTTCTGTTCATATCATAGGTTTTCAGTGCCTTTCTATCCTAAAGAAAACATATAAAACTTCAGATATTTCACAAAGAGATGTTAACATTCATGGAAAAACCTCACATAACCTTATATTAAAGCAGAAAATAAGCCTTTCTTATGGTGGCCACCATAAGAAAGGCTTACAGTATTCAATTATGCTGCGTAACTGAGCAGTACAGTATTGCGAAGGGACGCAAAGGTTTTGCGAGGGAAAGCAAAAGAAAAAAATTCCGTACAAGTGCTATTTTTTGAAAACAATAAATTGCAAAACCTTTAAAGACTAAAGGATCTAATATATTTTTGTCACTGACACATTGGAAAACAGGAAACGATGAGATTTTTATTTGGCATTGAATTTTCTAAGCAGCTGGCTTCTGTGTTTGTCTTACAGCTGAGATCTCTCCATCAGACTCTGGGGGCCGATGGGACATTGAGTCCTCTTACCCTCTACACCTCACCGTCCCTGCCCAATATTTCCCTTGGCCTCCCGGCCAACACACACATCACAGTAAGTCCATGATAGACATGTTCATCTTTGCAATTTATGTGTGTGGATTGTCCTGCAGAGACATATGTTTTTAACTCAGTGAAAAGAATAGTGTTAGTTATACCTGTGAGACTCATGGCCTGGCTGTATGACAGCAACTTTTCCCACTTGATTTATTTTCCTAATCTTTGGAATAATTTGTCACCTTTCCCTCAACTGGTTCTCAATGTGACATCACAGATAATGTAGACTGATTACAAAAATTGCATAAAAATGTCTCTTCTTTCCAGCCACCCCAGAAACTGTCCACCCAGCAGGAAGTAGAGCGTCAGGCCATCCAGTCCTTACGAGGGGGAGGAGGTCTAACTGGGAAGTTTCTCTCCACTTCCTCCCTACCCGCAGGTAACACTCACACACAATTTAACCAGGTGATCAGCATCTACAGTACCTTGAAAAAGTATTCATACCCATTGAACCTTTTCTGTTTCTCCCCCCTTTTATGAAAAAAATCTTTGACCATTTTACTGCTTCCCATAAATATATGAAAAGGACACGTGGATCTTTTTTGTTTGTTTTTACTAAAAACAATCTGAAAAGTGTAATCTACATTTTTATTCAGCCACTTTAACTCTGATAAATAGCATTCAAAAGTTATATGAGTAGTGACTGGGGTCCAGTTAGGTTCTAAAACAATATTCCAAGTTGAATTGAATTCTGTTTAATTTGTCATCTGAACATGACAAATTAATGTATGGCACAGTGAAGGCATCAAACCAGCCATGGAATGGCTATTACCTCATATGAAACTATTGGGTCATATGAGGGAAAATCTGTCAAACGTGGAGGTAAAAAACTTATTGTAATTTTATAGGTGAGAGAAAATAACTGGCCAAAAACAATTTCAGCCTGTAGATTTGGAGACAAGCAGTAGTCCTAATGGCTTACTGCTGTAATTGCAACAAAAGATTGTTGACTCAGGGCAGCTGAATTACACATGCACACATAGCTGTTGAGATTTTTATTTGTAAACTGCCCTTAAAACCATTGGGTTTTTAAGGGTTTAAATCTGGGCCTAGAGTCTTTCTGTAGGTTCTTCCATTCAGACCTCCAGATACCTGCCATGGTTGAGAAACACGAGGTTAAGTTAATTAATTTCTTTAAATTGTGAGTTTGGTGTGGACCATTATTTGCCTCTGCCTTTGCCCGTGATGGAATGCTGACTGTCTAGGGTGTAACTCTTCCACCTCCCTACCTGTGCCAATAAACAGCTATGCACAATGGATGTATTATGTTTTCCTTCTACATTTAGCACATAACACATGGAATTAGTAAACTAAGTTGGAATTTGTATTGTGACAAAATGTGAAAAAGTCTCGGGGGTATAAATATTTGTGAAAGCAGCTTCATGTAGTGTCAGAAGAATTGATGTGGTTCTTGTGCAGGTGCAGCACATGATGTGGAGACTCCGCCCCCCGGCTCTCATTCAGCCCATTCCTCGTTGTTGCAACACGTCCTGTTACTTGAGCAGGCCCGACAACAGACCGCTATGTTAGGTGAGACAAACGCCAAACTAGAAAGACATTTTCAAAGCAAAATACAATTCTTACTGTGTTTGTCCTGTGACCATCCACACACTCAGTGCCCATATACAGTCAGTCACCACTGGTTACTGCAGAGAGAGGTGTAGCCACTGGAATGCGGCCCGTCAACAAGCTGCCCCGCCACCGACCGTTGGCTCGCACACAGAGCGCCCCTTTACCCCAGTCGCCCCAGGCGCTGCAGCAGCTGGTGGTCCAACAGCAGCACCAGCACTTCCTGGAAAAACACTACAAGGTAGACCACTTCACATACCTCAAGCATGATCTTTTATAGGTCTGCACAGTAACACAACATGTGGTTGGTAGATGCTATCGAAGGGGGGGGACCTCCCAAGACCACCACCCACTCACCCTGAGGAGACGGAAGAGGAGCTGACAGAGACCAATGACATGCAGGAAGATGAAAGCGTGGCTCTTAACAGGTGCAGTGAAAGCTTTTAGAGATCCAAGCTAAAATCCTTTAAGTCCCTAACTGTTGCTTTTTAAGTGTAAGAATTTGCCATGTTTTCTGTGGCACGTAGCCTGCAGAAAGAGGGATCAGACGACAGCAGCCACTCATCTGAGCGACTGGCCAGCCACCTGAAAGGGGAGGAGGAATCCAGGGTTCTCCAGGTCAAAGGCGAGAGCACGGAGAGTGAGCTAGATGAAGATGAAGAGGATGATGATGTCATTCAGCTCAGGGAGAGTGAGGAAGAGGAAAGGGTATGTAAAGTGACATTTACATACAGGTTTGTGTGAAAATGTCACTGAAGAAACACATTCATTCCAAAGTCCTTGACATAATCCTATGGCAGTTTGGAATATTCTGGAGAAGTCTGAAATTGGCTAAGTAATTTTACAGGTGAAGCTAAAAAAAAAATATATATATATATATATATATATATATATATATATATATATATATATATATATATATATATATTTGGATTAGTATGAACTGAACTTTCCATCCATCTATATTCCTTTTTTCTTTCCTTCTTACTTTCTCTTCCTTATTGGCTTGGGCCTGTCTGTAAGTGATGAATTGATACAGGGAAGTGAGACTAAACCCTCATCTTTCAAATATTTGTGTCTCGCTGTGATGTATAAGCAAAGAGACACAACCAGTAATGTTTGCTGAAAGATATCCAGGCATGGGTTCATGTCTGTTATCTCCATGGAGTTAATACTTTTCTTTCTTTAAACTGAAAATCATTCCCATTTTGGGAATGAATTGTGACAGAAGCACTGTCATTGTGACACTTCAAAGGGCCCAACAGGGGGCGCTGGTGCATGGCAGCCTTGCTTCTGTCAGACTGCCCCAGGTCAGTTGTGGTTACTATCCAGTAGCTTGGGATCATCAGCATGTGAAAGTGTGTCTGAATGGGTGAATGTGTGAAGCACTTTGGGATCCTCTGGACTTGATAAAGAGCGATACGAGAACAGGTCATTTTCCATTTTTTGAGCAAAAGCAGTGGAAATAAATTAAAATCTGAGTATTTAAAACCTGTTTTCATTTCAGTGTTGTTATCATCCTGGTTGGGGCTGCTTTTTCCAGAAAAGCACAGTGGATTGATTTACCTCACTGTACAATGAATTACTAAATTGTGTCCACTTCTAAGTAATTCCATCTGAGTATACATACAGCTGCTCTTTTGCACAGTGAAAGTTCTTTCAAACACAGTGTGTTCACACTGTATTCGAGTCAGACCAAATTTTAACTTTTTTAGCAAGATACTGTATGTTGCTGAAATCCATACATACCATCTCCATGGTGAACTACAGTGGAGCATTATTCTGCGGGAATTCTCTGTCTTTAGCACGAACATTTCAGAAAAACAGTCTCAAGATGCCAAAGTTTTAAGACAGTGGGTGGATGTTCCATTTCTAGCAGATCAAGAAAACTTAAGGTTTTGGTAAAATGATGTTCATGTTCTAGAATGCACCATTGGTTCATCGCACATATCTAAACTTAGTTGCAACACGTGTTGATTGCATATTAAATCCATCCAATCTGATGACGATTGAACTATTTTACAAAGAACAATGAGCAAGAACTGTTAGGTCATTAGATATGAAAAGCTTGTAGAGAGACACACACCTAAAGGTAATTTTATGGGAGTTTACTGAAGTCGCTTGAGAAACATTTGTGGCTTCTGCAAGGTTCCTTAGAAAACATAGCTGTGGTAAAGAACTCTTTAAAAAATCTTTAGGGTAACACTGACAATGATGAAAGACCATGCATTTTCAAACTTGAACCAAGACATTCATTCACGCACACACATGCATTGACGCTGCATTTACATCACCATGTGGTGACTCAACCACTGGACTCAATGCTGTGTGTGTCTCTGTATGTCTTGAAGTGTGTGTGTTGAGTGTCCACCCACACATGATGAGTCACTCAATGCGCGGCAGGGAGTGCCGCAACACCTCCCTATATATAGCCACTTCCGAATATATGCTCGCATCTTTGTGTGTATGTGTGGATGACAGCAGTGCTCACAAAATCCTTGAAATCTCACATGAACACACACACACGCACACACACAAGGTGGGTAAGAGCCACCACACAGGAGAGTGAAGGGGTTGGTGATGGGTTAAATGGGCTCGAGTGGCAGCAATTTTTCTCAATTGATTTCAGTATGTTATACAGCATAGCTTTATGAATGAAGCCAGCTTTGAATTATGCTCTTATCTCTTGTGTGTGTGGTTTTAAGCAACGTGTCTCTTTTTAAGCTCCCATACAACTAAGCACACGCTCTTCCTCCTCTGCAATGAATGGGCTGATTTGTGAATCACCCTGCAGTGAATCAGAACATCTCTCCCTCTCTTTTCCAGCAGTCCTTGCAGCATCTCAGCGTGTTTTCATCCTCGCTGCCCCACAGACCTCTGGGAAGAGCCAAGTCATCCCCTGCAACTGCTGTCAACCCCATCAAACACCTCTTCACCACCGGTCAGATTCCTACTTATTTATTGATGTATTTTTAGGACTGCACATCTGGTTTCTGACTGGATACGTGTGGGTTGGTGTCAGTCCAGATTCTATAAGCCTTTGGGCTTGTTGCCTAGTAACAAGCCCATAGTGTGTGATATTTTATGACATGTATCCTTGTTCGTAATATTTAATCATATCCTGATCTGTTTCACTTTCATGTACAAAATAGTCTTCAAACTGACATGTATACTTTCTAGGTTCTCATTGACTTGATGCAAGCATTTGGCTGTTTTTGCTAGATTAGCCATAGGAAGGTGCAGCTGTCCACCAAGGCACAATCCATATGTGCAACAAATGTGGAGAACTTCTTTGTTTTACACTGAATCTAATTTACCCCCTGATCAAATTCCCTTAAAAATCAAGTTTCTGGTACAAAGAAATAGTTTCTTTAGCAGAGTACACAACATGGTATTTGTCCAACAAACTTTTGAAGGAACTGCTGTCTTGACTTCATACTGCCAGAACTAACATGTATGGTTTAGATCAAAGCTCATTCATGTGCTATAGTGGTCTAGTCAAACTCTACAACTAAATAAAATTGACAAGTTATATGTGTAAGAAAGACTTCCCGCAGACTTGCCATGTGTGGTAGAAGTTCATCCTGTAATTGGTGGATTGTTGGTTTGATTCGTCTGCCTCTGTAATTGTGTCCTTGAGCAAGTCACTTCACTCGCCTTGCCTACAGCCGGTGGCCATGCTGCTGTCAGCACAGCAGTAGCTATGATGTAGCTCACTGCCGTGTGTGTGAATGGGTGAATGAGGTGTGTAGTGCTTTGGGATCCTCTGGATGGTGTCTCAATGCACATCACAAACAAAAAATAAATAATTTCAATTCAATCACACATATATTTCAATTTATCCCAATTATCAAACAGTATAGTATGCTCAATTAATTATTCAAAGTACTTCATAGTTTCTATCTAAGGAAATCCAGCAGATTGCATGGAGTCAATGATTTTCGGCGTTCTCTCCTGCTGGACGGAAACGTAGTGACAATAGTTTGGTTTTTGTCTTCAACTTTACATCAATCCCTCATTCTGACGATGCATGCAGGGACCGTGCAGAGGGAAAAAAATTACCTTCAACAGCAAGAAACCTCCAGCAGAACCAGTACCTGGTTCAGTACAAGTGGCCAACTGCTATAAATATACTTAAATTTCTGCTTGCTTGTAGTAGTATAAGTAGTTGTAATATTAATAATTATATATATTTTCAAAAGGGACCTTTCAGGCCACACATGGTCACCTCACAAAAAATAAAATCAGTAAATTTTACAGGAACAAAATACAAATAAAAAATAAAGAGTGCTGAGTAATCTAAGTGTAAATGCTTGTTTGAACATTAGAGCGTTCAACCGGGACTTAAAGACAGACAGCATGCCAGAGAGTCTTTTATGGTGATAAGGGAATGTGGATGTTTATGCTAAATAGAAGAATTATAATCATTTATAATAAATTTAGTGGCCAACCCGCCACTAAATTTATTAGGCACCTTAGGGCATATATGTTGTACACTTTCAGAATGGAACTGCTTTCTAGTCATAAAGGCACATTCACAAAGTTGGCATGAGGTCATTTCTCAACCTATTTCTGACAGGTTGAGAAATAACTATCACAACCTGTAAGTAGCTCCAGCTGCACATCACCAGTAACACACAGCTCCTTCTTTAAGTTTTGCTCAGACCTCCAGGATGATCAGTCTGTGCAATCTAAATGTTAATAAACCATCATCAACATTTCCCAGCAGATCAATATGGGCTCTGAACACAAGCTCTCTCCGAATCCTTCAATTTGCAATATTCTCCATCAGATTAGTTCCAAGATGTTCCACAATTGCGCGGCACACCTTTGTGCAACCAACTTTTGAGCAATCAAACTTGACCTGTTTGGAGTTAATTTGCTGATCCGACTCCATTTTCTTTTTTAGTGAGAGTGAAATTCCCCTGCAGATAACATGCATTTAATGCGGTTTGGCGCACAGAGCAATGTGTTAAATCTTTAAGTGACAAAAACTGAGGAAATTTAGTATTTATATTCTAGTGAGGTTTTTCCCAATTTGGTAGAAATAGAGTACAGTCTGTGTTATGTCGTTGTCTAAATACAGTTCAGTTTCATAAAAGATTAAAATCATAAAAAAATGTTGGGTTTGATAACACTGAATGGAGTCAGGTTTCAGTGTTTTTAGGTGAGTTTTAGCACTTTTTAGTTTGTGATTGTCCACAAAAAAGTTTACATGGCTGCTGCACATTTTTACACCAGATAAAATGTTAAAAAGTTAACAGTTGAAATAACAGCAAATAATGCAAAGTGAGAAAAAGTGGTCAGTTGCCCTCCAGTAGCCGAAATCCATGGCAGGGTAACTACAGCAATATTTTAGGTTGACCTAAAGGAGTCTAACTATGAGCTTTATCAAAAAGAAAGTTTTAATTACAGACTTCCTCACGGACTGGTTCCATAGGAGAGGAGCCTGATAGCTAAAGGGTTTACTTCTACTTTTTGAACTTGTGGGAACCAGTGGTAAAGCTGCAGAGAAGTGCTCTGTTAGGAACATATGGAACAATCAGATCTCTGATGTATGGTGGAACTTGGTTATTAAGTGCTTTATATGTGAGAAGGTGAATCTTTAGATATTTATTTTTTCATTTATTCTCATTTGTTGCAAATATGCTGTACATTGTGTTGGTCTCTTACCTAAAATTTTGCAATTAAACTTTTCTTTGTGTACAAGCTGTGAAAAAATGTTGTGAATACTTATGCTGGGCACCATAACAATGTTTGAGTTGACAGTGGCCCCTTCTCTTTGCCTGTCTGCAGGGTTGGTGTATGACAGCCTGATGCTGAAACATCAGTGTGTTTGTGGCAATGCTCACATTCACCCAGAGCATGCTGGGAGAGTCCAAAGCATCTGGTCCAGACTGCAGGAAACAGGCTTACTGAGCCGCTGTGAGGTACACACAGTCACACAGCAACAAGTTTGGAAGTGTAACCTTTGTGCTCGCAAAGGTTTCTGATCGGTGCATATGGCAGGCTTTTCACTGGATTGCTTTTACCTACATAAGTAAGGATGTTACTAAGCTTCTCTCTCTGTCTGTCCACCTGTGTGTGAGCAGAGGATTCGTGGGAGAAAAGCATCTCTAGATGAAATCCAGTCGGTCCATTCAGAGTTCCACACCCTGCTGTATGGAACCAGCCCGCTCAATCGGCACAAACTGGACCACAAGAAGCTTCTGGGTATTGGTCTCCCTCAGTCTATGTTCAGTTTCATACTTATCTTACGCAGTAGTTTTTACATAGATAAGATACCTGTAGTTTGTGCCTCCATATTTGTGTCTGGTGATTACTGCTGCAGCTATCAATTAGTTAGTTAGTCAGTAAATTAATTTAATCGATTGATCATTCTGACCATCAATCAATTAGTTGGATGAAAAAAATTGAACATTCTCCAAATTTTTCATTGAACCATTTAACCTTTTTAATAAAATATTAAAAATACATTGAGATATGCAAAAAAACGAATAATTCAATTCCTTTTTAAAATAATAAAATAAAAAAAAATTTGCCTAAAATACAACAACAGCTTGTTCAGTGAACGTTTAGTCATCTGTAGCAAAGGATGCATCTGCAGTTAAAAATTCCTTCTATCAACTTGCGAAATCTCAGGCCTTTCTGCTGGACTTAACATCAATAAGTCCAGGGCTAATAATGTTGATTTTTTTAATAACCAATTTATACCTGCATTAAGTACAGCAAAAGTATTTAATAGGAGATTTTTTTTTTTAATTTGAACCAAATGGAGCTAAAACTGTCATTTCTGGATATCAAGGTTTTTTATGTTAAATGCAAACCTTTTCATTTTTTTGAATAGAATTGTTTTAATTAATGCTCTGAGGGTGTTTCTTTCAGAAAATGGCATGTTTCAGAGTCTGCTTCTTTCAGTTAGCAATTATTCAATTGATAAATTTATTGATTGTTTCAATTATTGATTCATTACAATTAATCTGATCAAGTGTGTGAGCCCTGCTGCTGTCGGGAGGTTTTAGAAGATTGTTCATGTTCTTTTTCAGGTCCAATCAGTCAGAAGATGTATGCAGTTCTGCCCTGTGGAGGAATAGGGGTGAGGCTCTCTATACTCTGTGTTTATCTAGCCTCTTTCAGAGGTCTTAACCTAAGCTCCATGCTGCTCTCTGCAGGTGGACAGTGACACTGTGTGGAACGAAATGCACTCATCAGCAGCAGTTCGCATGGCAGTGGGCTCAGTTATTGAGCTGGCCTTTAAGGTGGCCGCAGGGGAGCTGAAGGTAGCACACACAAAAATTCTCCTTAAAGTCATGTACCATCTGAACTGAACATTACTCTTAAGTGTATATTTTTCTACCAGAATGGCTTTGCAGTTGTGCGTCCACCTGGTCACCATGCAGAGGAATCCACAGCGATGTCAGTACCGCCACCTCTTTATTTTTAAAATAATCTACATGTTTTATCAGATCTGCAAGCCTAGGTTCTGACAGATCTGTGCCTGTTTGTGTTGATACAGGGGCTTTTGCTTCTTCAACTCAGTAGCCATCACTGCCAAGCTGCTGCAACAGAAGCTTGGTGTGGGGAAGATCCTCATTGTGGACTGGGTGAGAAGCACAAAAACATAAGCATCACATGCAGAGGATGTTCTACTAATTTATTTTAATTTTAAAATAGGTCAAGGTTTTATCCCCTTCTATTTTTGACACATGTAGTCAAAAATAGAAGGGGATACTTGTTGATTTGACTGCTGAAGGAGGTACAGCTCATCCTGCTCTCTCTCTCGTCCTTACTGATAACTCTGCCTGTGAATTATTTTTAATTTTAAGGCGACAGTTTTTATAGTTATATTTACATTATTGACATCTTAACTGGATTTTTCCAAACCTAAGGACTGGGGGATTTCTTACTTTTATTTTCACCTTACTTTTCTTTACCTCCAAGTTAAACCAGGGCAAAATGCCTCCGGCTGACCCCAAGGACATGAGCAGTTTTACAACGACTTCAGTCTATAGACATGAAGATTAAACTACTGGAGGTGAACTTTGAGATCAACGCTGCCTGTGGAAATGAAACAACTCTTCCTCAAATCAGCGGAGAGGTCGTGCGCCCTGCACCGAGCAGCTCACCCTGGAACACTCTGGGTGCCAAGCCGAAACGGGAATCTTGCACTGCTGATCCGATGAGACGACTATCAGGGAGAACCCCACACCTGGACAAATCAGAGTGGCCGGCTCTGAGCCGAAACCCACCTTCAACTTCAACACCTGCTCCGCCAAAGAAAGACAAACAAGCAGCTGCAACCAAAACGCCTCCACCGACCCCGCTGACCCCGCTGACCCCGCTCCCAGGGACAAAGCAACCAGCAAGAGCCTCAAAACATTCTGACTCTGTGGGAATCCCACTGAAAAACAGATTTTTTGCACTCCAGCCTGAGCCTCTGAGTGAAACTTTGCCTTCAAACATCAACAGTGAGGCAAGACCAACACATCCATCCCCCAAAGCTCCAAAGGACAAAGCGACCACCAGAAAAACAAAAGGTATCCCAAAAGTGATTATTGTTGGAGATGAGGCAGTAAAGGGAATCAGTGTTGTTTGCAATCCCAGGAATGTACAATATTTTCCTGGTGACACTGGTGATTTAACCAACAAACTGCTCTCTGTAACCACTGATCAGCCAGATATCGAGACTTTAGTTGACCATGTTGGAGCCAACGATCTGGCAAAGCAAAAGTCTGAGATTCTGGAAAAGGACTTTAATATTCTTCTGAACACTATGGGAAAATTAAAAATGAAGTTATTTCTCAGTAGTCCAATCACTTCGATGGGGAGACAAAAAACACTCCAGGCTGCTCACGATAAACAAATGGCTGATTAAAACCTACTATACCTTTTTGGAAGAGGAGGACGCAATCTTAATAAACATGGGATAAAGCTACTCGCTGCAAACCTTTTTTATTTTATCAAAATGGGATTACCGCTCTAGAAGAACAGGCTCAAGGATTTCTGACTAGGATGGAACGCTCCCCGTATCAGGAGCACGATATTCCAAAACAAGCTGATAAATTGACTCCCTCCCTCTCTGCTCCTTCAGTCATTCACAGAATTCAACAGATATCAATGAAGAAATGTCTTCCGGACCAGAGTTTCTTAAATTTACAGATGGAATGAATCAACAGCTTCACCTCGGTTCGTCTCTCCTTAGCACTCACAAGCAGACCTCACTACATTTAAGCAACCTGCCCCTGACTTTCCAGAGGATCCATCACTCTGCGTTTCTGAGGTCTGAGGCCGGGGACCAGATATTATCTTTACACCTGTCTCCATCCAGAATGTGTCTGGCCCCCGGGTACTGCAGAACAGGACATTACCTGTCCGAGTCACGATAAGAAAATTGACAAAAAACAGAAATATGAAATACAGCAGTCCTAATTCAAACCTCAGACTGATCCTCAGACTGATCCTCAGACTGATCCTCAGACTGCCTAAAGCAGGGGTGCCCAAAACGTCGATCGATCGCGGGACGGTTTTGAGTCGATCTCTGCAGCAGGTGACAAACTGAAGGCCTTCAGGACGCTGAGAGCAGCACTTCCTCTTCTGACAGACTTTTCAAAATATTCACTAAGATCCAAAACGTTTGTAGCTTCATTAAAAAAATAATAAAGCCTGAAACCTGATATCTGAACGTTTTTAACGTAATCTTTGCTCGGCTTGCGGGGCGCAGGCGGTTGCCACGGCAACGAGTGTGCTTAACGATAAAGAGAGACAGAGAGTGAAACGGTGTGAGAGGTTCTGAGTTGATCACCTGTTCAGGTTATTCTACTTTGTTTTCCTTCGCTGTGGTTCATCACAGCCGCTGGAGTTTCTGAACGTTCAATAAACGACAGACTTGTACTAATGACCTCGTTCGTTTGCAGTAAACGTCACAACCAACATCAAATAAGACAAATATATTTGATTAAGTTTTAACAAACAAATGGCTTGTACCACAATAATTGTGTCAAATTACATTAATTATATCCCAAATTCAGAAGATTTGCCTTTACCTCTGCAGAGCTCTTTGGTTCCTCCTATCAGTCTGCAGTTTCGCATATTGACGTCATCAAACCAAATTTCGGATATACCATAACTGACTGACAGCTGCTGGCCTCAGGTTTGCAACCAGCTTCTGACTGAGAAACCTCAGTGTCAGAATCTCACTGAGGAAGAAACTGCATTAAGCTTTTTATAACTTTATCATTTCTGATATAACTGATGTATATTTGCATAGAAAATTAGTCAATAGGGTTTCATTCATAATTTGTATGTCTTCATGTAATGAGGTAGATCTCAGCCGGCTGGTGAGAGAAAAAGTAGATCTTGGTCTCAAAAAGTTTGAGCACCCCTGGCCTAAAGGAACATCAGACTGATCCTCAGACTGATCCTCAGACTGATCCTCAGACTGATCCTCAGACTGATCCTCAGACTGATCCTCAGACTGATCCTCAGACTGATCCTCAGACTGATCCTCAGACTGATCCTCAGACTGATCCTCAGACTGATCCTCAGACTGATCCTCAGACTGCCTAAAGGAACATCAGACTGAAAAACTTTTTGCCTCCAATTCACTTAAAGTAGCTCTTTTAAATACCAGATCACTCTGTGGTAAAATTAATCAATGATTTCATCACCGAGTAATAATATTGATGTTTCTGACAGAAAAATGGTTGAATGACAATAATGACCAAATTGTACTAATTGAAACAGCGCCTTCTAACTACAATTTTTTAAGTGAGAATAGAAAACATAAAAAAGGAGGAGGCGTGGCTTCTATATTTAAGAAAACCATAAATTGTAGTACAATCTCTTTGGGTCATTTCACCTCTTTTGAGTATCTTGGAATTCAGGTTAAAGGCTACAAACAAACTTTGACACCAACTTTATACAAAACTCCAACATACGTGGAAAGTTTCTTTACTGATTGTGATTGTTTACTAATTGTTGGTAATTTCAATGTTCATGTGGATAAACCCCAAAACAGAGGGGCAAAAAAGCTTTTAATATTTTAGAAAATTTTGGTTTAACACAACATGTCAAACAAGCAACACACACTGGACCTGGTTATCAGTAAGGGTGTGAATATTTCCAATGTCTCTGTAACTGATGTCGCACTGTCTGATCACTGCTGTTATCTATGAAAGTTATTTATTCTTTGACCAACTTGGACAAACAGCTACTGTCACAAAACGTTCTTTCACAGAAAACAGCAGAAACATTTAATCAAATCTACTCTTCCTCCTCACCCTTAAACTGTAATGATGTAGATAAGTTGGTAGATGATTTTCAGTCTAAAGTTTTATATATCATTGATTCCATTGCCCCAATTAAAGTAAAGGTTGTGTCTAGTGGGAAGAAATCTCCATGGAGAAAAGCACAAACAGTTCGATCTGCAAGACAACTCTGCCGCAGGGCAGAACGAAAATGGCGTAAAACTCAACTTCACGTTCATCATGACATCTATAAAGAAAGACTACGTAACTATCACTCAACACTAAAACATGCAAGGGAGGCTTTCTTTGCAGATGTCATAAACACAAACATTAACAATGCTGGAGCTTTATTTGCAACAGTTGACAGGCTCACAAACCCTCTTATGATGTTACCACCTGAACTCAATCTAATGCTGCCTGGAACAAGTTTTCCAGTTTTTTTTCAGAGAAAATTCAAAAAATCAGAGGATTGATCTGCACATCAACTCTAAAGCCAGAACCTTTGCTGTACAAAACAAAACAAATACAGAAAAAATGACCCAATTTCAACTACTTAATTATAAAACCTTAGAAGAAATTATAAGTTAATTAAGTTCAAGCTCCTGCTGTCTGGATGTCCTTCCCACACATTTCTTTAAGAAAGTCCTGCCTGTTATTGTTACTCATCTGATCCAAATAGTAACTCATCGCTTACATCAGGTGTTTTCCCCCAGGGCTTGGAAAACAGCAGTTATTAAACCACTACTAAAAAAGAAAAATCTGGACAAATCTGGCCTAGTCAAAGTATTCCATGACGTCCATATAAATACGGAGTGTGGGAGAACCACAGTGCTGGTTCTGTTGGACCTCAGTGCAGCTTTTGACATATTACTGAATCGACTGGAGAGTTGGGTTGGACTCTCCGGTTCAGTGCTCAACTGGTTTGAATCTTACATAAAGAGCAGGGATTTCTTTGTTTCAATTGGAAACTTCTCATCAACGAGGTCAGAGGTCGCAAGATTCAATCCTAGGACCCCTCTTATTCGATATTTATATTTTCCCACTAGCTCAGGTTACAACAGGAAATATTATTAACAACCATAACTATGCGGATGAGATACAGCTCTACATTACGATGTCACCAGGTGACCTTTGACCCCATCCAATCACTGAATAAATGCTTAGAACAGATAAATGTGTGGATGTGCCAAAACATTTTCCAGATGAACAGAAACAAAACTGAAGTCATTATTTTTGGACCTAAAGAGGAACGATCTAGAGCTATAGATCTAGAGTCAATACACAGCTTCAGTTATTACTACTAAACCTGGGAGTAGTAATGAACTCAGATCTGAACATTCAGAGCCACATAAAGACGGTTACAAAGTCGGCCTTCTATCACCTGAAGAACATCTCCAGGATTAGAGGACTAATGTCTCAGCCAGATCTAGAGAAACCCATCCATACGTTTATCTTTAGTCTCATTGATTATTTTAACAGCGTCTTCACAGGCCTGTCCAACAAATCAATCCTCCAGCTGCAGCTGATCCAGAAGCTGCTGCTCCTGTTCTCACTAAAACCAGGAAGATAGAGACATAACAGCAGTTTTAAAGTCCCTCCACTGGCTCCCTGTAGCTCAAAGAATAGACTTTAAAATACTGTTGTTAGTTTATAAATCACTGAACGGTTTAGTACCACAATACATTAAAGATCTGCTGTTGTTGTATCAACCTTCCAGACTCTCAGGTCTTCTGGTTCTGGTTCTGCTCTGCATCCCAGAACCAGAACCAAGAGAGGAGAAGCAGCTTTCAGCATCTATGCACCAAAACTTTTGAAACAAACTTCCAGAAAACTGTAAAACAGCAGAAACCCTGACTTGTTTCAAATCTCAACTAAAAACACACCTGTTTAGAATTGTATTTGAAATGTAATATGGAACAATGTATTGTTTATTCCATGATGCATGACTTTGTGTTTTTATGTTTATGATGTAAAGAACTTTGAAATGCCTTGCTGCTGAAATGTGCTATACAAATAAAATGTGATTGATTGATACAACCTTGACCTATTCAACTGTGCTTATAGTATCCAAGCATCTCACTGACCTTGCCTCTGATGTTACTGTCAACTATCATGGCAGGACATACACCATGGCAACGGCACCCAGCAGGCTTTCTACAACGATCCCAATGTGCTCTACATTTCTCTGCATCGCTACGATAATGGAAACTTCTTTCCTGGCAGTGGAGCACCAGAGGAGGTATGTATTTATTCAATTGTTTAGTCTTTGTAACCCAGTCAAAACTTTGGTTACATTTTGTTTTATTTTTGTTTAGTACCCAGGGATCATCCATTTACCATTTATCAAATGTACCACTGTTTTCAATTACCTAGTGTAACCAAAACAGACATTTTTATGCAAAACTATAATTATCAAAAATAATCAACTTAAAACTGCTGTCTCTTAAATGTATCTCTGCTTGCTCTGTGCAGGTAGGCTCAGGTGCAGGAGCTGGCTTTAATGTAAATATAGCATGGACTGGAGGAGTAGAGCCTCCTATGGGTGATGTGGAATACCTCACTGCTTTCAGGTAAGCATTTCCTTACTGGAAGCAGCCAATTATCTCTGAATAAAATCTGTTTTTACACATTTAGTATACAGCGTTCCAAACTGTAAAATTTGAAGCATTTCGGAAATATCTGGATAACTCTGAAAACCAACACCAACTCATACTATGATGCAGTGATACGTTAGAAAAATTATGCTGTCTGACATTGTTTTGGCAAACGTCCACACCAAAGCCACATTAACCTTTGCCCTTGACTTGGCATAACTGGGTGTCATTACCGCCATCTTAAATAACAAACTTACTATATTTACACTTATTCACATCCAGCAGATACATGTAGGATATGTAAAAGAAACCAGCAGGGAGACACGAGGACAACACTGTGCAGAATGGGAAAGTGACAGGAGTAGATGAAAGGAACTGGCAAGGAGTGACTGATGATAAGGTGCTTAAACGTTGGAGAGGTTAAATTCTGAACAAAAGACATAGACTGATGAGCTAACAGGTTGCAGGTGTGAGGGGGGAGCATGAGGTAGACTCAGGAGAGAGAGAAAGTGGCACAGGGGGTGAGGAAGAGTACACAGGGATTAGGGAATAAATCTAGCACTAAAGAATAACTAGAAACCACAAATGAACATAGAATCACTAACAAGAACTTAACTGAAATAACACAGATCAAGACTGACCTAATCAAAGAAGACAAAGAAACACACAATAATCAAACTAAACCAAACTCAAAAGCAAGTAAGCAACCCAGGATCATATCATTATGAAACATGAAGGATTCCCAAAACAGAAAGTGAGGCAACAAAAAATTAACATTAACTTGCTTATGTATTTGAATAACTCAGACAGGTCTCAGTACAGAGATATTAGATCAAAGTGAGAGTGCAAC